ATAATGTATAATAATAATGTATAATATCTAACAAATAAATAAACTTAATAATAAATAATAATAAAATAATAATAATAATAATAATAAAATAAATTTCCCTTTCATGCACATTACAAACAAAAACTTACAATAAATAAATAAAACAAAAAATACCCTTGTGCTTGCAAAATTTTCAGTTTACTGTAACAGTTTTGATAGTGAGAGGGTTATTTTTGTTAACTAAAACTAAAACCATGAAAAATTCCTTGAACATTAAAAAACATTAAACATTAAATAACAAGCAATTTCTCTCTTTTTAGTTTAAGTTGAAGCACTAAAATCCTATAAAAACCCTATAAACATGCAATAAAATCAAATGACAAACACAATAAAATTACTAAAAATGTAACTAAAATCCAAATGAAAACAGAAAATATACAAATATAAAACTGAAAATAATTTATAATATTAATTAAAAAAACTATAATAGTATATCAGTGACAGCTAAATAACTTTGCAATGAGACAGCTCTAGAAATGTCTGACTCCCTGAGTAGTGTGCTTATTTAAGAATTAGGGAGCAGGTTGAGAATAACACACAAATCTGCTATAACGAAACATTTCAGTGTAAGTGCCTTCCTGTAGCTCAAATAATGCATAACTCTGAACACGTGTAAGATTGCCAAGGAAAGCAAGAACTGATCAAATGTCTACCTTGAATGCAATGGAAGTTGCTTTGGCTAAAAGCATGTACCAAATACAAAAATGTAAAATGTATGAAAATGTAAAAGGTATCAAAGGTCAAGAAGTGACCACAGCTGCATCCTAAACCTGGCTTACAAATGTCACATTAATAAGCCACGCAAAACATAATACAGGACAAACATGGAATTCCCAGAACCCACAAATGAGGCATCACCATCAACTGAAGCCTTCTAAAATTACAGCAGTTTAGCATTTAGCGCTTCTGTTTCCCGTAACTTTGTTCACATACACTATGAGTCCATCTCAAACTACAAGCGTAAACAGTACATGCGGGCCAATAGGTTTCAAAATAAACTTTTTGGCTGAGCACCAAGACAAAGACTGTTATGCCATTATGTCCTCCACATAAGTACTCCATGCTTTTAAAATCATACTAGAGTGACAATTTTGAATGACAGATATGGGTTTTTCTCAGAAAGCATCAGACCCAGCATTGTGCACTTTGTTTCCTGCAGACTAGAATGATCAAGTAACGCTTAGCGCACAGGGTCTCTTTAGCATAAACCTTCAATTATATTCCATTTAATTTTGCATTCATTTTCATTCTGAGGACAGGATGTAGTCCAAACCTGTTTGCAAATTCAGTGAGCTTACTTTAATAAAGCATTTAAGCAATTAAGCAGATGCAAAATGATAATATAGATTATGTATAGTTTGAGTCAAAGATAATTAAAATCCAACACCATCTGCATCAGAACCAAGCATGTGGCACACACACTTTGCTGCAGGGCCAAAACCAATTTATCTAAACTTTTGCAGCTGCACGACTGAAAGGGCACTAACTAGGATGCACCATCCAAAAACAGCCTTCTATAGATAACACACAGACCAAACTGAAACTTTTCCTCTTTTACAAAAGCACTAGCTGAATGATAAATGTCTGTTGTTAACATGTAATATGAAAATAAATGTGGCTATATTTGGTTATACATTTTATCTTATTTAATGATAATCATAATCGTTGCATTGTAACTGTCACATGCCATGAACAATGGCTTACAAACTGCACCTGGGACTAATTAAACTCAATAAAAATGTTAAAGCCTTACATTATTTTTACTGTGTTTATTTTAGTCCAACTTCTTGAAGTACTTGGGTTATGCGCAATGATAGGTGGGTACATTTCCTGTGATGTATAGATACACTAACAATATTTAAAGAAAAATAGTTCACCCAAGCATGAATATTCTGTAATTATTTACTGAAACTTGAGTATTTTTCTTCACAGAAGGAGACATTTTGAAGAACGTATTGGTTTCTGTTGCTGCAAAAGCACCATAAAGTATTAATAAATATGACCATATTTACTTTAAGCCTTCTCAAACCAAACAATAACTTTGTGTGACACAAACTAAAATTTAAGCCATTATGCACTGAAAGTCATGCTTTTGCATCATTTCCAAAGCACGACAGCGCCAGTCCCTGTTCATTGCGATTGTAAGGAAAAGCACAACCAGCACATTTCGTCAAAATATCTTCTTTTGTATTCCAAAGAAGAAAGAAAGCCATACAGGTTTGGAACTACATAAAGGTGAGTACAGTAAATATAATCATGAAATTAACATTGAACTGTCCTTTTAGTTAACCAGGGATCTGTCCACCCCCTTTGCAGAGGGTGCAAACTTTAAATGATTATTTCTCTATGGCCATGCCTCTGGAGGACAGCTATAAATATACCAGCAGCCAACAGTGCAGATTAAAAGCAGACAATGAGCAACAGGAAGCGATTTTGAGGAAAGGTCAGGCTAAGATTACATGGGCGGAGGTAAGCAGGGTGGCTGTTGGTGAAAGCTCCCCTCGTTTTGTGGCCCCTCTGCAGGCACCAGTTACAGGTGATTCCTTTGCGGACAAATGCACAGAGAACCTAAATATATGCTAGAATAAGTAACATGTCAGAGAATGAAACCTGTCCATTTCATTTATTGCAAAGTCTATTGCGTTTAATACATTGCTCTCCCAAGAAATCAAGTCAGATTCACCTCTGAACAGAAGCCATGGCTAAAACTTCTACAAGGCAGGAGGGTGTGTGCTTAAAAGGATATTGCATTTCCTCTGAGTTACAAACTCATTCTGAGAACATGCACTCTCTCCTTCCTTTAAACATTGCACATATTACTCAACTTTTCATCTTTGGTCTGAATTGTACACCACTGGAGATGTAGCTGTGTGAACCGGTTTTGTTGCAGCTGGCAGAAGCTTTTTAATAAGCAACCGACCGGATATATTAAAGTTATTCACTGAGCACTTGACAATGTGACTGTATTATATGTAGGATTCAACCACACACTCAACCAAAAGTCCGATGTTTATAGGTTTAAACATGGAGTGAAGACACCTGGGTTAGGAACTATTCTCAAGACACTCAAACTGACATGCACTAAATCTTGAGCATTTAAGTCTGAGCTTATCCCTTAAGCACAGCGATGTTCCCTTAGTGTACATCTTAAATTCTTTGCCAAAAGCTGTTCCTCGTTCCCCTTGAACTGTCACGCAGAAATCTAAAGATACAGTACCTCTCCCTCCCAACAAGCGTGACAGGTGAAACACTTTAAAGGTGCACTCAGTGAATTTTGGTTTAGGTTTAGTGGGATGCACTAAACGGGCTACTTTGATTGTTGTCACACTATTTGTCCACTTTTTCTGTTTGAAGGCACACAAACATGTTGATCCATCCTTCTTTGTAAAGCACTTTTTAAAGTAAACCAACACACGCTCATGGCAATTTGTAACTATTTTACAGGTTTTTTTCTAAATCAGCTAGATTTAGGGGTGGACCTTCATGCTTGTTTTATTTCTAGAAAGCACACGTTTCCATGCGAATCACATTATTCATATTTTATGAAATTGGCATTACTTTTTCATAACATTGCGTTGATTAACATTGGTTATCAACTGCATGCCACAGTTGGTCATGTGACATTAACATGGCAGCACCCATGAGGGGGAGACCAGCTCTGTGTGGAATAACAGCTTTTTTCTAGAAGATTTTGAGACGTCCTCTCATGAGAGTGTATAGCATTTTAATTACGCTTCCCAAAAGTGTCTTTATTAGTAAAACTTTTTAATTAGCATAAAGTTCACTTTTAGAGTCACACTCAAAGTCGTGTGCTCATTTCCAACATTCACTCGCAGAAGTTGTTAGAATGGTATTTAAACGCTTACCAAACCACACCGAAAGCTCCGTATCCGATCGGTCTGTCCGGCTCTATATCCAGCTGTTGTAAGTGATGCGAGTGGTGGTGGTGGTGATGCGCCTTCACGGCGGCCGCGGCGGCGGCTTGACCTTGCGCTGTCAACAGCCCGAAATGAGAGTTGGTCAAACAAAACACAAAGAGGCGAACGAGATGGAGAGGGAGGCTGCCAAGATGTCAAACTCTCATTTGGCTGTCATCGAGCCAAACGACGGGTCAAATCAAAGCAGAAATGTCCGGCATACATCGAGATGAGCGCGAAAAGGTGTCATACTAACAACTCTCCAGCTTTGATCTGACCTACTTTGGAGGATCTTTCGCGTTATACGTTCCAGACTAGCTAAATGACTACCGCGGACATTCGAGAAAGCCCTCGCGGAGGGTAAACAAAAGAAAAGTAAAAAAGGAGAGAGGGATCAAATCAAAATAATGCGCTCCCCCCATAATAAATCAGTTCCGCGCGGCCTTAAATCTCCCTCGTGTTGGAGGCATGAGGAGCACCTTGCTTGTGTGGAAAGGGGAATCAGGTGTATAGTACAAGTTACGGGGGAAATGCAACATTCATCTTTTAGATGTCTTCATATTTGCCATTTTGGGCTTCATCCAGCCCTGTTTCCACCGCCAGGGCTGCATGCAGTTTGCAGAAGTTACGTGGATCTCTATCAGGCCACCGTTGCTGACTTGGTACTTGCTCGCCAGCTTACTTGTTTACATTCACATGAAAACGCGCAATTCTCCCGTGCGAAAAGACTGCTACACTGTATCGATCCGGGAAGCTTGTTTTGCAGTATGGCGCTCTGTTGTCGCTTTCAGTTGCGCTCGAGCCCGAGGCTGTAGATGGATAGCTCCAGATGTCAAAATCCCCTCGAAACACCCATCACGCTGATCAACAGAGCAATCCGTTTTCCTGAAACAAGGGAAACATTCTTCCGAAGCCTTCAACTTATTTTCCCCATCGATAACGTTGTGCTCGTTCACCGGCGTGCCGCTTTCCTGCGCTCAATATCGTGGGCATGTATATCCAGTGAAGAAGAAATCAAAAGAAAAACATCCAGTGTTCCTTGCAGTCATAAAACAGGCGGCCAGCGTCCTCACCCCCTCGCCGGATGGTGCTGCCAGGACCTGGGAAGGCACACGCGCAACCTTGCAGTCTTGGGTACCCGTCTATTCCTCGACCGATCGACAGGTCTCTCAGCCAATCGCGTTCCGCTTTGGAAGTAGCACAGCCAATCAGCGGACGAGAGGAAGAGACGGCGGTCCAGCTATAATAAACAGGCCCTTGTTGCATGTGGAAGCTAGCGCCATTACGGCTACACATTACTGTTAAAGACAGTGAGAGTCTACGGAGGCTTTGAGCCGAAATGGAGAGCGAGGGGCCCCACTTACCCAGCGCTATTACGCGAGACATGCCATCCAATTAGCACCTGCCATTGAAGTGAGTCCCTTGTCTGAAAGGAGAGCCATGATTCGCTGTCCAATCGTTTTTCAAATCGAAGGAAAAATGCACAGTAACAAGGACGGTCAAACATTATACAATGTATATTATACAAATATGTTATACAGTTTACAAAGTTTATAGTTTGTTGTTACAGTACATTAAAATAAAACTTTGAAAGATAAAGTGTAAAGTTTAATTTCGAAGTCTATATGGGGATACTTAATGAATAATTTGTTCATAATGAGAAATGTTTATTTATTAAATGTTTAAATGTTCATTATCACGGAACCAATTTCTCACCATTAATGGTCAACACATCTATAAACTTTTGTGAATGTTTATTGAATGTTTGTTTTATTTTTTATTTTTTAAATTAAATGTTAAGTCATTTGAGAATGACATTTGTCTACAATGTTTTAACTTATTTATTTAAATTTCTGTTGGCCAAAAACAATCTAAATATGACTTTTTCGGGTGACACTTTATTTGAAGGTGTTCTTGTTACACGTTAGATGTACTTACTATTATAATAACAATACATTATGCATAATTACATGCAAGTAACCCTAAACAAACCCTAATCCTAACCCTAACCATATAGTAAGTACATGTAGTTAATTAATATTACTCAGTACTTAAATGTATAATTACACTGTAACAAGGACACCTTAAAATAAAGTGTAACCTCTTTTTGTATATTACGTAATTGTTTTGCTGTTTCATGTTAAGTAATTGATTTACTTTTTATTATCATTATTCCCACTGTTCAGTCAATGTGTCAAAGTTTTTTTTTCTGGTCATTAGATTATTTTGCATCAAAGATGTTTAGGTATGTATCTATACATCAGTTGACAGCATGAGAATTATTCACTGGAGTACAAAGTATGACAACTATCCCCAGCATCCTCTAAAATTAAAATATTAGGTAACATAATTGAATAAATCAACTTACACTTACATTTTACTTTTACTTTTTTTTTTAAGAGTAGGCTTGATTATGAGACTGGAAAACTTAATCAAGGTGACTTGAGCAGTTTAGAGGGTACAGCTGTACATTCCACACCTTTGACCTCAACTCTTATGTGTTTGCTTAAGGATAAATGCTTCATCTCAGCTGGCTCTCACAGCACTGGCAGTGTGCTGAAGCATGCAGGTGACGTGTTTATTCCTGATATAACTTAAAGCTCTGTTTAAGCATTAACTCAGAATCTTTGAGTAATTTTCAACATAGTGGTTGAATGAGGTTATAGACCTTATAATATGGCCTTTTAAAATTTTTGGCAAACCAGTGTTGGAGTATGATGCTGCTATATGTAAATGTTGTAGTTTCCTGGAATTTAACCACCGGGGCGTTAAAGGCCGAAACTAAAGCAAAGCGATCAGCTGCAGAATCTTCCAGAAAGAGTGACTGCTGTACGTGTCTAATTAACCACTGGAAATATTTTGAACAGAATAATTAATCCTCATGTCAAGGTCCAAAATAAACTGGTGCCCTCCTTTAAGTGCAGGCCTAGTTCTTATGGGTGAGTGGGACGTGCTCTACATTGAGCCCACCTGCACCAGAGGGAGGATGCTAACTGTCCCTCAAAAAATAAAAAAGACAGGACTAAATCAGGCCCCATTGATTTGGACATTGTTCTGTCTAAAAATGTAGCAGCTGCAGTGTTTTAATCAATAATGACATGGCATCATCCACAATGACTTCACATCTTTTCAGTTGAAATTACTGTGCTGAATTTGCACCTGCACGCACATGTAATCTATATAAATAAATCACTGCATCCCCAACTGGTATAGACCTTAGTCAGGTTAGACATCATATGAATTTAATGTGGATGAAAATGAGTCTGGACCAAAAACTTTCAAAACCGTTTTATGGAGTTCGACTACATTTTCTTTAATTATTTATATTTTTCCAGAAAGACGTTTTTTTCAGCTGAACAATTGGTATGCTGTCAAACAACAGTACAATCCACTGAACACACTGTACTTTTATTAATTAAACTACTATTAATGCTATATTTAAATTACAGTCTATTATGATGATGCCTGTATTCTGCATCCTGTCTCATCTTTCGCAGCGTTTCATCTTTTCATCAGGCAGCATATGGCACATGAACATTTCCAGAGATTTAGTTCATTCTTAGTCACAATGTGCATGAATTAATTGATCCATGACCCTGAAAGCTTCACAGTAAGATATATTTGTGTTAATTAATTAACACTGCAAGATAGAAACAAAACAATGAAACTATTATTATCTTAATTTTATTAATATCCTTCATTCTCTTCAAATGAGACTTTATTATGAATGCAAACACATTGATCTGGACAATTAAGGATATTTTTGTAATACCTGCAACAAATAAGTGCTGCTAACAAATGAAACAGTCTGGTCTTAGCTGGCAGAACCTATACTAAAGGCGGTTTTTCATAACCTAGAAATAGTCCACCAGGAATTAAAATTCTGTGATTCTGTTGAGCACCAAAGAAGAGATTTTGAAGACTGTTGGTAACTGTTGACTTCCATTGTATTTTTTATCCAAACAATGGAAGCCAATGGGAACCGAAACTGTTTAGTTACCAACATTTTTCAAAATCTTGTTTTTTGTGTGTGTTCCACATGCAGAAGACAGTAAGTCATGCAGGTTTGAAACAACATGAGAGTGAGTAAATGATGGCAACATTTTAATTTTTGGTGAACTATCCCTTTAACCACTGGATTGTGGTGATTATTTTAGGGTTGAGGGTTGATAGTGCAGCATCTGAGCGCTGATTAATGGGATTAAAGGCAATATAGAGGAACCCTGCTGATTTTTACTGTATAGATGAAGATACAGCAATTTCTTAGGCTGCATGCTGTTACTAACACCAAGTCAAATCAGTTATTGGGTACATTGATGAATGGGACATGTCCAGCCTCACCTTATTGAGCTTTCACAGCAAAAAACAGTGCTGGATAGATTTCTTTTGTGCATTTTCAAAAGCAATAAACTTCAGGACTATATGATCTTGGAGACCAAGACAAACGCATGGATGTTCCTAGGTGAACGCATCTCAGCCAGAAATAACTTATAGGCTGGTGGGTTATTAATGAAGTAATGAAGGAGGAAGATAAGAAATGTTTTGTCACAGCAGCAGGAGTGATATTACCCAGTGTCCAAATAGGATGTTGTAAAATTCAAGAATAGCTTAAATTTGAATCTCACTGTTGGGTTCTCAACCAAATCTGAATTCTGAGTCATTGCAATGTGTGATTATTAAGGGAGTTTTTCAAATATTGAACCGTAATATTAGCTTTTATTGTATCTGAATACATAATATGTGTATTTATTGAGGCTACAGATATGTATTTTCATCTATGTAGACGGTTTCTGCAAAATATCTGTAAAACATTCCTATTCGGAATGTGTAAGGACGTTCAGCCATAGTTCACCCAAAAATTAAAAATACTTTAATCATTTATTCACCATCATGTTGTTCCAAACCTCTATGACTTTTTTCATCTCTGGAACATAAAAGAAGATATTTTGAAGAATGTCGGGAATCAAAACTGTCTGACTGCCAGCATTCTTCATATCATGCTTCTTTGTGTTCCGCAGAAGAAAGAAATACATACTGGTTTGGAACAATATGAGGGTGAGTAAATAAAGACAGAATTTTCATTTTTTGGGTGGCTTATCTCTTAAAGTCATTTATGATGTGATGCATGCTTTTAAATGGTGCACTTCTTAATTCAATTCGATTCAAGTTTATTTGTATAGCGCTTTTCACGATACAAATCGTTGCAAAGCAATTTTACACATTTTAATTTTCTTAGTAGGTTTTATGTTTTAAATTTTTTTATTGTGGTTTAAATAAACCTCATTATGTACGCACCATGTTTAAATGCATTAAACTGCCTTGAAGTGATATGCAAAACGCAAGCTTTTGTGTCCATGGGTTTTGATGAGAGGTTCTCAGGCAACACAACCCATTTTGGACATTCTGTATGCATAAGACATCTGTTTGATGTTTGTTCATGCCAAGAAGGTCTTCCTCAAGTACACTCGTGTTTCTTTGCAAGCCCAATGCAGCAAACAGCATCACCCAGCAAGGTAAAGCTATTTTTTTATTGTATTCTGACTAGATTATCAAGTCTGTTAAAAAAAAAACATTTTACAGATGCATGCACTTTGTGTTTATGTACTATTAATAAAAGGATTGTAGAGATCTAAATTCAGCTAATGTTTTGCTGGCCAATACAACTGAGGTCTTAGACTTTATACTGACACCTACTGGCATGGATGCAAAAGTTTTCCGATGCCATTGTAGAATTTGATAGGCCTGGGTGCACTACTCCTTTATTCTGCTTAATACATAATTCCAATCATATTTTTATTTTATTTTCCATTTTCTTTTTTTAAGGGCTTAAACCTTTTGTTACTAAGTGCAAGGTTTGACATATTGACTAAGATATACAGTATCACAAGAGTGCAAAAATTGGCCGAGTATGTCATTAATACAGACCATAATGTTCTACACCACGCATGATCAATAATTGAATAACATGCATTTTTCATTGATCATTCAGTTTGACCAGCTACTCAGGCACACTGAGATATTCAGTTCACAGCCTGTTGAAAGAATGAAGAATGCAAAGGAAAAACATTATTGCACTCTTGACCATAACCCATAATATCTAAGCTTGTACCCACATAAATCTAATAGTGGACAATGATATAGTGAAATTCTCTTGCTACAAAGATTTACTGAATGGTTGAGGATAACCCAGGCATGGGGATCTGCACAGAGATTCGGTGTCCTAATTAGGCCCTGGCATTGACAGTGAGTACTGCTTGGGGCACTGTGGAGGGGAAGCTGCAGGAATGTAGTGCTGA